ACCAACATAACTTTGTAGCGGCTCTGACTGCTTATATGAGCTTTTATAAATTTTTAAAACTGATTTTTTTTTGTACAGGATATATGGTTTAATATGAATTAACTCAGTTATCTTATTAGTTTGCCTTTACTTCTACTTTCGTTAACTCCCACCAGAATCTATTAGTTAAAATATGTAAGTGCTGATTTTTAGACTTTGAGGGAGAAGTTTTGGCAGTCTTGCTGGGCTGTTATTTCGTTTACGTCTCCTTGCTACTTGAATTAAATTATAGGTTTTAACTTTTATAGGTTTAATAGGTTTATAGGTTTAATTATAAGCAAGATGTATTTACTTCGGGAGCGAGGCAAAGCTTATTTAGACGCTTATTAAATTATATTTCGTGGATAAGGAGAAAGACTTTCAACTTCAATTAAATATGATGTTAAAAATGGGAAATGACTCCATATTTACATAATGCTAAATGGAACTCCCTCAACGTCGTTATTAGATGCAGGGACGCAGAGTAGTTTCTTTGTGCAAAGTTTTTTCGGAAAACGTTTTGTTGAGTCCAGGTTACTTGATGCTTTGGAGGCAAAAATCGTGACGGCGTAGGGTAAGAATTGTGAATGTGGAGTGGTAAGCAGTGGACAATAAGCAGTGGAACGTTAAGCATCTAAATGCATCCGTTCTGTTCTATATGGAGAGGAATTTGCTTGCCAGTATGATGTTTCGATTAAATTTTCTGAAAGCAATAGGCACATAACTTAATTTTACTGAACCATAAATGTCGAGAAAAGCTTCTCATGATATAAAAGCTTATATTCTGACAGAAGATCTTTCACTTTTGGAAACATTAAGAAGCACTTAATAATTCAGTGCAAATGTAATACATTTGCATAAGGTTGAAATTCGGAAGAAAACAATAAAATTCATGTGACAGATATGTGTAATTGCTTGGGTTTTAATCCTTTAATGTTTTTCGATTACTTCATTTTTATGTTATTATTTTTTATCGACGTTTATTTTTTAATTTTAATGATAATGTTTCCCTTTTAAGGGCATTTTTAGCGAATTTTCAGACCATTGAAATCAGGGCCTTACTAATAACCATGTTCCGTATAGTTTATGATGATGTTAATTAGCTCAACTAGAAGTAGCAATCAAAGCACTTTCGTACGTGTTCTCTACTATCGGCTAGTAGTTTCTCAACAGTAACATATATCCATTGAGAATCTCGCACATACTTAATCCATTTTATGTCTAGAAGTCGAATTAATCAAAGTTTAGTAAATGAAATACATAATTTAAACTTGAGACTCATTCACTCAGCACGGTTTAAGTAACGAGGATTGTTACAGAAGTATATATGAGGAAAAACAAATATTGCCTCACTTATCGTTAAGTAACTCTTCTGCAGTTTCAAAAGAGTTATAGAGTCTGCTTCTCCTGTCAAGATGAAAGATATTTTCTGCATAGTTTAGAAGCCACAGTATTTTGTCAAAACAGTGTTGAATTTAACAAATGCAGTGCTTGAAACTTTGCCTTAAGCCTTTGTTCGAATGTCGCTTGATTAACCAATGTAATTTATTGCATTGAGAAATTTCATAGTTTGCTCTTGGACAGATTTTACTTAAAATTAGGATACTGAAATTTTATCTGATGTACGCATGATTTCCTTCAATTTTGTCTACGGAGAAAGTATTATGGGCAACTTGAATCAAAACTTCATCATCCGCATTAAAGCTATTCACAAATGATTTCACAATTTAAAAATTTTCACTGTAGTACATGTCAGCCTTGTTTCCCCAACGTGCTATAACAGTCTTCGGTGGCAAAGTTAGATTAGAAACTTAGAATTTAAAATGCTATAAACTATGTATTGCTTTTAAGAACATTTTCTTTACATTAGAGACAAGCTTGTCAATATCGGGATAATTTGCACGAATTTCTTCAGCGAGATGATGAACGTGTGAGCTAGGCAAGTCAAATAGACTAATTGGGGATAAAATCCCTTCATTGACTTTCCATCTTTAACCACGTGGGGTGCAGCATCGCTTAATAAAAGCAACACGCCATTGTGCTGCATACCATTTCTCCATAAAATATTTAGTGATTTTTCAAAGAACTGAAAAATTGCAGAGTGGCTCACCTTTTAAGGTTCGTCGACATTAAGCAAAAATATCTTGGAAACTAAATCTGGATACAAATTACCTATACTGCACACATGACGACCATCAGTCACATTGGTTTCATCAGTTGAAAGAGATATTATTTTTTTGTCGTTTACAGGCTCTCTAATTTTCTCTATTGTTTCCGAGAAACAATTGTCTTCATAATTTTTTTCGTTGCATAGATTCAGCAGATTTCATTTTAACCTGTACAGTTGTCTAAAATCTGGTAAAATCAAGGTTATTCAATTTTTCTAAAGGAATGTTTGCGGGCAGGAAAACTTCATATAACTCTTTTTAAAACGGTTTCTTTGATGACATTACTAAAGAGCTATGCACAAACAAAAGTTGAAATACTTGGCTCTTTTTCTTTATTAGTTTAGCTGCTTCTTTATGTTTATCTCGCTTCATATGCTGCGTAATGCTACATCCTTTCCCTGCTGCAACGCTTTTTTTCACATAATTTACAAAATAAAATAATTCTACTTATGGATAACTCCTTTTCTTCAAGACATTGCCAAGAACTCGTCTTTTCCTGTTGAAAAGGTAAGGAAGCTCTCATTATCTGATTCTACGAAACGAAATTTATATTGCGTCGGCGAGAGGAAGGCGTTTGAATCACGTGATTTTAGACTATTCCTTTCTTAATATACAGAGAATATACTTCAAAATGTTGTGAAGCGCCCCTACCCCCAAAAAACCCTGAATAACCAACCCCTAAAATGTTCTAAAAATTTTTTAAATGCTTTAACCCTTGGCACTCGAGAGGTGACTCTCACTCACCATGTGATTTGATGCCGCAACTCGAGAGGTGACTCTCGCTCACCACTTGGTTTGATGCGGAAACTCGATGCCCGGTAATAAATGATACCTGTTTTAAATGGCTTATCTTTTCTTATCTATTACAAAGTCTGTTCTCAGAGAAATGAACCCGGAAAAAGACATCAAACGACATATTATTGTTATACTTGAACCGACAAGCCGAGCATGTATCTAGGGAATTGTTACACGAAATATCATACACAGAAAAATTACAGAGACTATTTAAGAAATTTATGTTTATAAAGGAGTAAAGATATATAAAATGTTAAAATATAAAATTTTATACATTAATTTTGTGTGTAATCATTTTAAGTTACTGGTAAGAAATGCGCCAAAAAAGCTGCCAAACGTCTCGAGTTGTTGGTGCGCTGCGTGAGAAATGTCCCGAGCGCAAAGGATTTAAAAAAAAAAAAAAAAAAAAAAAAAAAAAACTGAAAAGTTTCAGATTTTAAATTACGTCCAAATGGGTGTTTCTTTAACATTTTGTATGTTACCTTTATTTAATAAATATCATGTTCTTCGCATTTAAACCATAAGTAGAAGAAGCTTCAGTTCAAGAGCAATATTGCAAATTAATTTTAAAATGAGCACATCTATAGAATTTTCTATACACAGTCTCGCGCGTTGGAGATAAAAATGTTTTTTCTGTACAACGTTGCCATTGCTCGCTTTGAAATCTTTGAGTTTGTTAATAAAAAATTCGTTAAAGTTTTACAAAATATGAAAGCGATAATTAAACAAACTCCAAATTTAGGCTTCCAGGTGCTCATGTTCGCAGGAGGATTACATTATTCAAAATTTGATGGCTCTAGGTACCGTTGTTTCATCACAATGGGAGAAACATACATTCATTTATACAGATTTTTCATTATTTAATTTCTTTAAATATAATACAGAGCGATAATACTTGGTGGCAACAATTTGAAAAGTGAAACAACGCTTGTAATGAATCAACGCCAAATGCCAAAACGAAATTAATAGTCGTTCCGGGAAAATTGCCCCTTTAAACTAAAAAAAAAAAAGGCATCTGTCATCAAAATACGGGTTTGGGTTATTAGTCTTACATTGCTGTAATTCTTGGTTATTAGTCTTGCCTTACTGCCGATGATTCGGCCTCTTTATCAAAATATTGTGCGCATATACCATTCTGAGGTAAATTTTGCTATGAAGTAAAATGCTTGTCGAAAAATGTTTCTCGTAAAAATTACTTTATTTCAGAACTCATACGGATTTTATCTAAATCCTTAGTGTAGGTTTTTGTTTATTCCGATTTTTGCTAAATTGATGGAAGTTAGTAGTTCGACTAGAAGGTAAGTCAGAAATGCTACGCTTATTACTCTTTGAAAATGTATGTGACAGAGAGTTTTTGTAATGCGGTAAAATTTCTGTAATGTGTAAAACAAACAGAGAGTTTTTTTAATGTGGTAAAGTTTCCGTAATCTGTAAAATAAACAGAGAGATTTTGTAATCTGTGTTTCTGTAAAAATTCTGTTATCCAAAATATAAACTATTCATATTTTTATTTAAAGGGCAATGGAAAGGTTTATTTCTGGTTACATAAGCCGCATGAATCAGCCTTTGGAACTCAAGTAAACTAATCAATCATCTTTAAATAAAATTTGAAAAGGGTAAAACGTACAATGAATATTTATGCGAAACATAATGATTAAAAGTGATAATTCTGTGGCACTTCTTAAACTGACTACTCAGATTTTTTTTTTTTTTTTTTTTTTTTTTTTTTTTTTTTTTTTTTTTTTTTTTTTTTTTTTTTTTTTTTTTCTTTTTTTTTTTTTTTTTTTTTTTTTTTTTTTTTTTTTTTTTTTTTTTTTTTTGAAGTTTTTTTTTTTTTTTTTTTTTTTTTTTTTTTTTTTTTTTTTTTTTTTTTTTTTTTTTTTTTTCCGAAGGCCCGTTTAATAGTACTTTATTTTGCAAGGAATTATCAGTGCTATATTTTATGAGTGCAGTGTTTTACGTTTCTTGCTAATAAAGAGTAAAATAACAAGCTCAGAATTTGACACTTCACACATCAAATATAGATTCAATCATTATTTATTTTTACAGTTTAACAGATTTCATCATAACACATTTATTCATTTTATTTTGTATGATACAAATAAGGAATGCAAACAGAATCCAAAAATTGAATTACAATTAGTATAATGTAGTAATTCAGTAAGAGAAAATATTTAAGTGTTAAAAATTGTATCACAGTCAAAAAAAAAAAAAAAAAAAAAAACTTGAAAAGTATTTAAAAAAGCATACAATGAAGCAAGCGATGAAAATTACTTCCCCTCGTTTTTTAAGTTAGCGTGAAAAAATAACCCTGAGAGGTAAAAATAACAATGTGATTGAAATTAAATATTTTTTAATCAACCTGCTCGACTGAATAACTCAGAATTTAACAATACACAGTAACATTTTCACTGATAACACATATATAAAAATATTGATAATTTTATTGTTAACAATTTTAACTTGCGCTAAATTGTTATTGCTTATGTATATGTCATAAAAATATTCAGTTTAACATAAACATATAGTATATGCATATATATATATATATATTTTTTTTTTCAAAATATTTCAAAAACTGAAAAGGAACTAAGTACTAAGAGCAAAATTTTAATGAAAGAGATTCCCAAGTCATTATTAAAAAATCATTAAATAAAGAATTAACATAAGCGAACCAGAGCACCATATATCACAATACAACAGTTTTCATTAAATTAGTATCAGCTAATTTAAATACTACAATTTTAGAGGAGAGAGAAAACACAAATGAAACAAAATAAAGTAAATGCTTTGGAATAATATATATACTATATATACAAGGTGATCACAACAGTGCCCTGTTTCAAAAGAGTACAACTTTAATATTGAAAAAATTAATCTGCCCAATTTTTTCCTATAGTTGCGTAAGCTCAAAAGGCAGTGGTAATATGGATTTGAATCACAAAAATTCGATGCGCACGCTACCGTTTACACGGAAAACAGCTCCAACCACGTTATGCAGTGTATCCGGTGTGATGAAGTTGACAACAGTTTCGGCGCGTCCTTGAAGATCATCCAGTGTTCTACATAAGGGAGAAACACCTATTTTAACTTTAATACAGCCCCCTAAGAAAAAGTCACAGTTAAGTCCACAACTTCCTTCAAGATAGAAGGTCTACCAGAATGTCCTTTATTTTGATTATAAATGCAACCAGTTTCACTAAATATTTTTTGTCATTTTAAAACGGATTTTTACGTGGATGAATCAATTCCAAAATTCCATTCGAACTTACCAGATGATACGACTGTTTTCGAAAAGTGCTCACCAGCTTCGTTGTTATAGGGGTGAACTCCGTTTTCGATAGCTTTGCGATCTTTGTTATCACATTTATCAACTTATTCAAGCAACTTTTTTATTTCATAACATCTTGAAATCGGGGACTGTTTTTGTCCTCACTATGTATTCACAGAGAAAGAAAGAAACTAATAAACGCACACTCTACCTCTCATTGATACAGCTGTATTTAAGAGTATAATGAAACTTTTAAATAATGAAACATTTAAACAGTTGAAAACACTCATTTATGATGATAACACACACTTGTACATTGACTTCACATACATGAGGCTAAATACTACAGCCGAAGAAATAACTGTGATTTGCTTTGCGATGTAATTATGAAAAGGATTTAAAAGGGCACTCACACTGGATGAGTCTGAGAAAGCAACTCGAAAATATAACAAGGTTAAATATTCGGATATCTATCAAAATATACATGATGTTAAAAACTGTAATAGAGCATTTACAGGCTAAAGGCACATATGGTATATCCCAATTATGATATTTGTGTCCAGATGCTTGAAAGTGGGATTAATGAAAACAATGGTGGATTTTCGACATTTCGATTCAATTCACAAACGTCCCTCAGGAACAAATTAAATTCGTGAACCAAGATTTCACTGTATGTGATTAGCTTACTCACCAATTTAGATAACATATAAGAATAATTCATTGAAAGGCTATTTCAATGAAAGCAGAGTACGTGTTTTTAAAAACATAAATTATATACTCTTTTATACAAAACAGTCATATCCACCTATGTTATCTATCTATCTATCTGCATGTATATACAGCATTCGAAAAAAGGTGACTGCAGGTTTTTATTTGTTTAGATATTGATCCAGATTCGTAATTTCCAGTTATATAACATCTTAAGTTCAGTATTTTATGGTAACACAATAACAATAATAATCAACACTAGAAATGGGGAGGACTTTTAAAAAAGGTTATGTTTTTATGTGATTTCCCTGGGAACAAGATAATTAGTATGCTTCAATAAATAAAACGTTCCAAAACTTTCCGGCTTATATTCAGTAAGAAAATTTAATAAAAAATTTTAAAATGGCAATCTATCTGCAAATTTAGCAACTAAACTGCAATTAACCGGCATAAAGATCAAAATCTATTTCATGACTGGCCTCTTAAGTTTGTTCTCAAAACTTTCAAATTAAGTCTGTAATAGTAGTGGAAAAATTATGTCACTCAATAAATTCGATGCCAAATGTCTCAGCAAAATTTTCACTTAAAAGTACGGACTACTTTTAATTAACTAAAGCATTTAATGAACATTTTAGTAACTGAAATATTTAATTTATGGTGATCATTTAAACAAATAGATTTTAATTCAACTGGGCCTTCTCCAATTTACAGTGTTGAAACAGTTTTCATAAAATTCTGAATGTTTTACGAAATTTTCATTCAATTTTTTACACATTAATAATGAAGGAAACAAATCCAAGCCCATTTACCACGTCTTTTGAGCCCCATATACATATGCATATAACAGACCGACATATACAGGCAGATAGGGGCCAGCCATGTAATTGCAACTTATTTGCAAATGGAGAATTGGTGCTGTGTTTTAGGATTGTATACAAGCAATATTGTACACAAGCTAAATTCGAATTTTATGCAAAAAATGCATAACCATTTTTGCAAGCAATAATTGCTTATTAAATTCTCTCATGTAGCAAAGAAAAAGTAATTATTGTTGAATATTTTATTTGCTACTTATAAAGATTTATACGCATCATGGAAGCCTAGTTTGTAATGCTGTTTTGCCAACTCGTTTTTAATTCCAGTAAAGAGCAACAGATACATCTCTTCTAATTTTTGTTGAAGAAAATGTAAACACAAGACTGGACATACTAAAATTAACTTATGCTATATATTAAACATACATAACTTATGCTATATAAGTTAATTTTAGTTAATTAAACATAGGCATCTAGATGATCAGGTGCAAGGAACATATTACTTCAAATTGGAAACTTTTACTACCTCGCCATTTGTTTTAAAAAGGAATCATAAAACACAGCACTAAAGAAGATGTATATATAGTTGTGTTAAATATTTCAGGATCAGAACAAAAGATTTGCATTTATTTTTACTATAGCAGGCACATTCATTACATTTCTTGCTAATTGCTGAGGAGTTTTATAACTTCCTTACTTTAGTTTTGTTTTACAAAACGTTTCCTCTGCGTCATTGTAAACGGAAACAGAGAGCAATAGAAATGGAATGTAAAGGATATAAAATGTGTATTTGTGTGCGAGCGATAATTTCTAACAGCAAATTTGTTTTATATCTACGAATGGAAGAACAGTTTCTGAATTATTTTAATATATATATATATATATTATTGTAAAAGCCTCAAGTATTTTGTTTCTTCCATCAATGAAGAAAGTATAGAGTTCATATCGTTTATTACCATATTACACGTTGGAAGTGAAGATTGAGCCGAAGTTTGTGATACACTAGGTGCAATGTCCACTATGTGACTAACATTACTTTCAAAACCGCTACTCTGAACCGATGTAGGAGTAGTAACCTTCGCAATGGAATGTACATTATTTGCACAAGTATTTGGTATCTCACTTGTCTCAGTCTTTGCTGAAATAAAAGTTTGTTTCTCTGTTGCATCTATTTTTTCATTACAAGAAATTGCTCCGGATAATCTGGCGTTTCCAATTTCCGATGGAGAATTGCTTCGCGCATACAGAGAAATGGGAGGCTGAGATCTACATTGCACATTGTGAGTCGGTGGCATAAACTCGTGAGGAGAGTTTCTTTGCGTTAAACTGTTAATGTAACAGTGGTTTTGAGGAAAGTTCTGTCCGGCTCCACAATTAGTACAGTGATGATACTGGGAAAAATTGCTATGGTTTTGAACGTGGGAGCTTTGTGAATGATACGCACTATAGTTTTGTGGAATTTGATGGTATTTAGTTTGCATGTTAGACGGATCTATGCATGTTGGAGCAGAGCATTGGAACACTGGCTGTTGAGTACTCATTTGATGATTACAGTATGAAGGCGGAATGTGCATTGTTTGCGGAGATCTGCTGCAGTTCGTCATCGAGCATCTATTTTCTAAAACTGGAGTTTGGATCTGATGACTTTTTGCAGAATACTGATTTTGTACTTGATACATTGGAGGATTGGAATAATGCTGTTGATTGCAATAGAAAGGTGTGGAATTCGCGTTATGTGATGAACACACCTGGCTTTGAAATGTTCCACTTAATTGAATATTTTGAGAGTTCCATGTTTGTTGAACGCAACCATTTAACATATGCTGACTAGCCATTTGATTGCAAGATTGGGCAAAATATTCATTTTTGCATCCATTCGATAACATAGGTTGAAAATTGCTTTGATTTTGATTAAAATTAGTTTGCACATCGATACAACTAACTCGACTCATTTCGGAAGACAAGCAACTGGGAGAATTTAAATTCATATGGTGTGATGCACAGTTTTGATAAAACGGTTTTTGATTGCTTATTGCATTTTGATTGCAGCAGGAATTTTGGAATTGCTGATTCTCATATGGATCTTGTTTACAACCCGAGCAACAATCTGTTTTAATGGGAACTTGGAAAGAAGTTTGATTTTGAAAACAAATTTTAATATTGTTTTCAGCAACACTTTCTTGCTGCGATACTTCATTCAGATAACTGACCACATCATCAGGCAAAATAAGATCTTTGCTGCAATCTAGAGTGTCATTTGAATCGCATCCATTTTTCACTATATTTTTATTTTCTTCGTTAACATCACTTTGTTGCCAGTCGAGATTTTGGTTAGAAGTACCATCGTGATTTGAAAAGTATTGCGGCACATGGGGAATTGGAGTCAGCCTATTAATATCACTTGTTCTCGATAATTGATTAGAAAGCTGAGAAGCTTCAGCACGATCTGAAGAGCCTCCTTTAACATGATTTTGAGAGTTATTGCACTGATAGAATACTGGGGGTTGTTTATGGATGGATGCTGAAGAAGAATTTTCATTTTTATCGCAAATATTAATATCTTGTGAGTTATTTTTGATATTTTTAATATCTTTTACATCTGAAATATCTGAGTGCAAAGCTTGTAAGCGGACTGAGCCGGCTGGGGATAGGCGTTCCAAACTACTGACTTCACTTGAACGTCGAGAGCTCCAAAGAGAAATGGGATCACATGAAGATTGAGCACTATGCATACTTGGCGATGTATAGGAACCTTGAATAGCTCTTTTATTCGTGTCTTGACTTTGGCAACTAACATCAGAAGACATACTACCATAACAGGTACTGGCTGAGCTTGTACTGTTTTGTCTTCTTCTTAGTCCAGTACTCTCCACGTTTGTTTGCATAACCGTAGCACAGCCTAAAAAATTTATCAAAAATTAGTGCCTGCAGGCAAGAAAATTTCTTTACATTACACACACACACACATATGTATATACATAAGTATAGTTAGTTTGCTGTTTATAAGAAGCATTTTTTTTGGGGGGGGTATTACCTGAATTCTTGGAGGATGAAAGATTCGTATAAATTTTCTTCGTCTCCCCGTCTGCAATTTTAGTTGGGTGATTTATTGGAGGAGGAAGATCAGATGATATCTTACTGCCATTGCTTCTGTGAAAGACTAAGAGAAAAGTGAATCATTATGCATAAATTAAAAAGAATTCAAAACAATAAATTAACATTATTTCTTAATTTCATGTAACTAAACAACAAATGTTACTTTTGGCAAACTGGAATTTTAAATTAGATGTATTTTATTAATTATCTGACCCAACAGTTATTAAGACGTATATATCATCAGGTTAACTCCAAAGTTACCAGATGACCATAAAATATCATGCTCTAGATACTTAATCTTTCGTACAGACTAAACATTAAATTGTAGGTTCACTTCCGTCTTAATTACTAAAACCAAAAATGACATGAAACTGATGCATAGGCTTTAGGAATACGATAATATTTGAAAGCATTATTAAGATAAATTATTATCGAAGAAAATGACCTCTTGTGAATTTTTAACGTGAGAGAACCACGGGGTAATTCCGCTTTTCTTCAGTTATTCCGCATATTGGATTTTATATCCTATCTCTATCATGTTGTCTATCTCTATCTATATCTATCATGTTGCTAATTTTTTGTTCAGTTGATTGCTTTGAAGAAAGATTTAAATGAAAATTAGAAGTGTTTAGCGCTTACGATAAAAGAAAAATTAGGCAATATCATGGGAATATTTTGGAATAATGCAGAAAAAAATAAAATAACTTTAAAAAAGAAACTTAAGAAACTGGGGAGGAGTTTAAATAAATTTTTAGAATCTAATACAAGAGTAAAATTAATACGTTTTTGTTTCTCAACACTTTTTTTATGAACGGCATGAAGTTAAAATAATTAAATGTTTAAAATATTAAAATAACTTAATTTGCATGCATAAACCAATTTACTGAATTATTTGCGGAAAGTAATCAAACATGAATAACAAGATTATTAATTTTATTCAGTAAATTTATTATAAATTATTTTATGAAGTTTTTAAAAATAAGTAATTGGTACATTTGGCATCCATTTGTCAAAATACTGCCACTATCATATTGTTAAAATAGCAGTAAACTGATAAACGTGCACAGAAAAAGTTATCTGGATATAAAAGAGTTAAGAAAAATGGAAAAAACTGAATTTCATCTCGCATTAGATGCATTTTTGAGTTTATTTAAATAATTACACTTACTTCCTTTCGGTAATTGCCATTTAGGCAGCCAAGACGTTTTTGATTTGATTGCTTTGTGAAAGCCACTCTTTCTTCCTCTTATAAATCCATTGCCATCATCTGCACTTGAAGTAACAGCGCACATAACAGCCGCTAAGTAGCTATCGTCCTATACAGGAATTTATGTTTCATTTAAATACATACTGTAACAAATTAAAAGTTCAATTTCGACGAAACTAAATAAATAAATAAAAAATAAAAACTCACTTCAATGTCCACGACTCTGTTTGGTTCCCAACAGTACGTATCTCCATCGAAAGCATCTCCGATACCACTTGTTGTAGACACACAGTTATCACTAATTGGCACTTCGCCGTTTATCTGTTCGTGATTTTCTGCGCACAAACCATTCTGAGAGCCATTCACTGTGCCTTGCTGGTCTTGTTCCTGCATGGAATCAAAAGAGTTATGATACGAATAATCTTAATTGTTTAAAGGAATTTTTTTTAAGTTTTGAGGAATTTCCGACTGACTGAAATATCAAACAAGTGAATTACTAAGTGCATAGCTGCATAGCAAGCTAAATGGAGCACAGCTATTTAGCTTAAAGCCTTAATCTGAATTTTGAAAGTTCTAATTATATCGATACATACCGATCAAAATAATTACAGAAGCGTATTACAGTGCGGGTTATGCAAGCCACTTGTATTATGGATTGATGTGGAGAAACTAAATCGTGTAAGATTTAGTAAGGGTAGAATCATGCGTACTAGTTTCTGTTATCTAACAATGTTTGAAACACAGATTCAATTTTCGTTAAAATCGCGATCTTTTCCCTCTAAAATCTTGACATGTTATCTTGAACTCAACAGTCTACACAGTTAAAGTATTTGTAAATTATTTTGGCTGATTTAATTCTCCATGTTTAAGAAAAAAAAAAAAAAAAAAAAGGGAGGGCAGTAGATGATATGAATGTTGAATTGCTTTTAGCAAAACTACTTATTGGGGAAGGAATAATTATTAATAAGTTAATTATCTAATAATTAACTTATTAATAATTATTCCTTCCCCAATAAGTAATTATTAACTATTAGTAATAAGTTAATTTATTAAATTATGGATATTGGGCTATTTCAAAGCGTTGTTTCAAGAAAAGCCGACTAAATCTGAAGCTAAAATCTGTCCTGATTTACATCTTTTAAACGACGTCAGATATCAGATATTTGTTTAATTTACAATATGGAAACAATTCTCCTAGAAAATAGGATATAGATTCAGGAAAAGCACTATAAAGGGAAAAGCTAAGACGAAAAAAAAAAAAGTATGATAAAAATAATTTGCCTTTAGAATACTTTGTGACGAGGAAAAACGAAGTAAAACTTCTGGCTATTTCTATGCAATCGCAGTCTGGAACGCCTAGGCGTTGGATATCAATCTTAAATATGATTATACTAGACTTTTTGCTTATTTTGCTTTGTTTCTCTTCTTAGGAAACAAGATCGACGTGTAAATTTACCAAGGTCCTGGAGAAACAAGAGAGAAAACTGTATCGATATAACAATACATATACTGAACATAATGATATATATGATTAGCAGTATATACTATGCATGCAGCAATATGCATTATAATTTTCTCTAGTAATATAATATGTAAATGTATGATTTATTGTAGACACAGAAGACACATCACTCTACAATGGAAGCTGATCTGAAAGTATTCATAGTTATCGATGAATAAGCTTAGCCTAAAATCTATAAATTTAGGAGTCATGTAATAATGCATCTAGACTTAAGATGCATGTAAACATACAACCATATTACAAACAAATAACAACTAGCTGATTCTGTTGCATTATTCATTTAAACAATGTGCCAAAAATAAAGTTCCAGGCTGATAATAGAGGAACACAAAACAACTTTGAGATATCGAATATTCCGAATGCTTCGAAGTTAGACATTAACGGCATTGGAAATACAGTTAAGTCTTCATTAAATACAGTTAACTTCATCAAATGTAACTTATGTACTTGCAAATGAAAGTTTCAGACCATTTTATCAGATTACCTTTCTTTGTTCCCCCTAATTTTAAAAAGCTAAGAGACTGATGCATTACTCTTGCCATATATTTAAAAGATAAACAGTTGAATAGGTCAATAAAAACTTTTATTGCATTAACATTCTTCAAAATACTTGAATTTAGATAATGCTCTTTTGAAATGATGATGAATTTTTTTCTTATTCTTATTTTCAGACTAAGTTATTATAAATAAAGAAAACTCAAGAGGAAACTAAACATCTGTAGCGGTAAAAATAAGTAGTGCTTCTACTTGCAGAATAAGAAAAAGCTTGGTTAACATCACTTTTATATTCTTCTCAGAGCAACTTAATCAGCATTTAGGTTTAGAAATATAAGCTATATCGCTATTATTGAGTTAGACATAGTATCTTTGTTACTGGATTGGATTATTTGATTATAACAAAGTTGTCTTCCTTAGGGAGCGTTGCCTTCGTCCATGGGAAAAAGAAACTTACTCATGTTGACGGTACACATGAAGATAAAGAATACCTCACCCAGTTCATCTTACCACCATTGCGATGAGATGTCCTCTGTTTATGTGTTTGACCATTTGTGGCAAAGCATGCGAGGGCTATCTACCTAAGGGGTGAGATCAGATTTGGATTAACCATTATGCAAATAAGCACGTGCTTAGGGCGTCAAGGATATAGGACACACCAGAAAGATATTTGGAACTCATGGAAAGGGAGCACTGCAAAAAAATATCTATGGTTTAACCATGGAATGTATGGTGCAGCTAAACTAAGACCGAGAGAAAGAGGAAACTGGAAAAAAAAAAAAAAAAAAAAGGATATTATACCGTAAATGTATAATGTGGGGGCACCAAAACCTTTTAAGTGCTTAGCCTCTAAAACTCGTAATAAACTTTTGCTGTGAACAGGGAATTTGATTTTTTTTTCAGATAAATTGCTATATTTTATTATACATTACTTTATATATTGGTAAACTTTCGTATTACAATAATAATTTACCAAACTTATTTAAACAAGAATAAAATTAATTTACCCTAGATGTCGTCAAATTCATCCCACAGAGTGAGAGTGCTAATAGTAATGGTAATAAAAAGATACAATTTACATTTAATATGAATATGTTCTATCATTACTTTTATAATTCAATGTAAAAGGTTTCATTACCTTAGATTGCAAAGTAGGGTTTGTAACTCTCCCTATTGCTTGATTTGCCAAAACATCAGATTTGTTCCAAGCACTGTCATTTTTAACTTTATCTTGCGATCTGTTGTTTTCTTTCGAGCCGCCTGCATTACCATCCCCGTCTTCGCCTTTGTGCTTCTTCTTTGCATAAAATTCAGCCCCATGCACAGTTTTCACATGTTTTCGAAGAGAACTGGGATCCGTGTAGCGCTTAGTACAGCCTTCAGCTTTACACACATAAGGTTTCTAAAAATACAGTTTAAAAAAGTAAGAGTTATGAATGGTACTACAAAAATATACATTACTTTATATCGAACACAAAAGGATAAAAATATTGGATGAAATTTCAACCTAACCACATAGTCTTAGGAAGCATTTTCGTATTATCAAGTGATACACTCGAAACGTATAGGTGACAGAGAAATTCCGAGTGCATATTTAAAATGAGCAGATGCTGATTTTGAGAAGCACTAAAATATTGCTTTAAATTGAAGTTCTGATTCTAATAAAGCGGTTTTGGGTTTCAAATGATTCAGAGAAACGAAACATGTATTCGGAACTCATTAATTAACTTGGTTTAAGGCTTCAAAACACTTTTCCCTTGATAAGTTCTGTTTGAAGCGTTAAACAGAGATTAATAATTTTTTTTATTTTTTTTTTTATTTTGTACAAGTCTCAGTTTAGTTTACGCATTTGAAGATTCACTAAATTTAAATGTTCTCTATTTGGTAATTCCTTACCTGGAAAAGAAATTGGTTAAACCTTCATAAAGAAGAAAAATAGTTTTTCAACTTAGCTCCGAAACTAATTCAGAAGTCAAACAACAAAAATCAGCGTTATATTTTCATAATTTTCACAGGACTAGTTTCGATGGTTTTACCGAACCACCATCCTCAGTTTTCATTTGCGGTTTCGCAGCTGAGGATGGTGGTTCGGTAAAACCATCGAAACAAGTCCTGTGAAAATTTTCAAAATATAACGCTGATTTTTGTTGTTTGACTTCTGAATTAGTATTTGTTCGGTGTGTTATTGCGTCTTAATTAGCTCCGTCATTTCCTTTTTAAGTACTACATTTATATATAATTAAATTTTCATATTTAAAATTTAAATTTAAATTAGCTTTATACGAATGAGAGAATATATATAGATATATGAAAATAACTTGCATGTTTGTGTTTTGTTTTCAAAAGAATTGTTTTGTAATTATGTATATATTTGCACAGAGAAGAAAGTAAAAATTTAGCTAATGCTTTAAAAGCACATTTGATACTGCAGTTCCAGAGTAAAGAAGTTACACCAAGTATAAATAAGAATACAATATTCAAGCAGTAAAAGTTTACGTGAAAAAAACCTACTGCAATAATTACAACAATACATACTTCAAAAACCAAAAAAGGAGTAAGTAAAGACAAACAATTTTTTACAATCAAAAAAATTTTTTATAATGTACGCAAACAAAATTAGCGTTAACTTTTTAATTTTTCGTATTAAATTTTACTGCCTGAATATTGTATTCTTGTTTATACTTGATGTAACTTCTTTACTCTGGAACTGCAGTATTAAATGGGCTTTTAAAGCATTAGCTAAATTTTTACTTTCCTCTTCTGTGCAAGTATTTTAAAATTTTGCAGCTCAATGTGCAAAATGTTTTGCAGCTCAATGTGCAAAATGTTTTGACCAAATAGGTGTCTCTTTTTAGATTACTACTTTGGACTTATTTCTTTAAATAATATATATATATAAATGTTGTATGATCTTAAATTCTCTAAGTTCGTAAACAAGTTATTCTAATACTTGCGCTATAGCTGCAAAGTAAGATAATAATAATTTATTTACTAAAGAAATATTGATTATATAATCTCCTAATATTGGCGATTTTGGTGTTCCGCTGATGAAGTTATTTACATTATACGTATATAGATACAAAATAAGAATCTATACTAGGTATTTAATATATGGTGTTAGAGACATATTTTACAAACTATAATAATGCTGTAAACATCCTTAAGGGTATCAACTAAGTAAATTATAATTTAAATGCTTTTTTTAAAATTTGTAAAATTAAATATATTATTAATAATTTGAAAGAAAATCATGCTGTATCATCTAGACGAGAAAACTCTGGAACAAGCTATTATCAAGTCGTATGGAAGATAAATTCAAGACCTTACGTGCTGTAAAATAGAAACATTTGTCATGGCCCCTGAATGATAAATACCCAGGTCAAACGGCATAATATAAAGTGATATAACAGGCCAATAATTTGCAAAGATTCTGCTGAAGACATTCCTAATGACGCATTAATTTTTTTTCAGTTATTATTAAAATGATATGCTACATTTGTTTCAATCGCGGAAATTTCGATATTGCATTCATTAAAGAAATTAAAAGGAAAAATTCGAACGCACTGAACTAAAACCATAAACAGGTTTAGTTATTCGTTTCCAATCGCAAAATGTATTTATTCTACACTGTTTTAATTACGCTTAAAAATTAATAGCACGTACGTAGACGGAGCTGCAGGTGTAATTAGAAGCAGACAAGTTTACAATCAAATTAAGTTTAGTTTATGTGATTACGGCAAAACCTCGAGGGCTACCTGCCTAAGGAGAGGGATGCCTTCGGGAAGGACTTTCTAAGGGTAGCTGGCTCGTATACACGCTACGCATGGGGAAAGCCACGAAGTCCGCCCATGCAGCCAACCCGTTCGCGGAATTCGAACGTGGGACCAAACTACCAGTTTTCAGTGAACTTTACCGTTCGGCCGCTGGTGTCCCCAGTCAAGTTAAGGAGTACTTAAAAAAAGATGGCGGTCTGATTTTGCGCATTGCCATGTTGAAAGATCCTTTTAATAGTAGGAGGTATTTAACATTATTACTTCATCTTGGTGAAATTTATATTCATTATTGAAAAGCTTCACAACAGCAATGGTCACAGAAACGAAAAATGACATTTTTTCATTTCATCTGAAAATCGTAAAACTTACCTAAGCAGATTGCTGCTTGTAATTTTAAAAATCGATTTTTTAAAAATTAATGTATTAGCACTAAAGCGTGGCACAAAAGCAGGCCGGCGCCCGGCTGCACCAGGCGGTGATAATTAAGGGCGGCAAATTTTTAAGACTTAAGGAAGGCACTAGACGGCAGAATTTAGCTTGGGTCCGTGACTTTGACATTAAGGTCTCCTTTATTCCTAAATTCTCTGTTCAGTTTTCTTCCTTTTATTGAAGCATCACAGAATTTGACTAACAAATCATAATTGAAAAATCGCATTAAAAGCTGCTGCTAGTTACAACTGTCTTCAATAGATGGCGCCACAAAGACAACATTCCCTTAGTTTAGATCTACGTATATTGCTTTTACCTACTTGTACAAGAAAAATGAATAAAAAGTAAAGGATTAAAAACCGAGCTAGGTGTAAGGACACGAGCTTGGTAAAACGTACTATAACCTGCCTATGGGCAGTTTATGTTCGTTAGCCTAGAAGGTCTATTAATTTCGTTTTGGCATTTTGCGTTGAAAACTTTAAATGTCGGTTCACTTTTCAAACTGCTGTCACCAAATATTACAGCCCTGTATTATATTTAAAGAAATTAAATAATGGAGAATCTGCATAAATGTATGCATGTTTCTAGCATTGTGATAAAACGATGGTACCTAGAGCCATCTAATTTTGAATAACGTACGTTTCCACCCGAATATGGGCATCTGGAAGCCCAAATTTTGAATTTTGAACTTAATTTTCTATCGATTTCCTATTTTGTAAAACTTTAGTTAATTTTTTGATTAACAAACTAAACGATTTCAAAGCAAGCAATGGCAACAGTGAACGAAAAAGAAAATATTTTTATCTCCAGCGCTCGAGACTTTGTTTCGGAAATTCTAATGATACCCTCATTTTAAAATTATTTTGCTATATTGCTATTGAACTGAATTTTATCGTTTAAGTGCGAAGAACGTTATATTTAATAAATAAAGGTAACACACAAAACGTAAAAAAATAAAAAAAAAAAAAAATAAAAATAAGGCTTTTTTTGTACGCAATATAAAATCTGAAAGCTTTCAGATTTTATTTTTTGTTTACTTGTATATTTAATTTTTTTTTTACAATGCACAAAAAAGCTTTTTGTTTTGTACTAAATAATCCTGCATGGAAAGCTGAGTTTATATATCCCTGTTTCGCTCCTTAGTAACGGCAGGGCTTAATTTCTAAAAGTTTAAAAATTGAATATTTAATTATTATCAGATTAATTAATAATTTTTAATTATTGGGGTTATTTAATTGGTTAATCGACGCCAATAATATTGTTTATGAATTATTATTTAATTAGTAATTATTATTTAATTCACAATTAATGTATATATTTATTAAAATTAATAAATGAATAATTAATGTAATTAGATGATTAAAATTAAATAAAATGCAAAGAGATAAACTAAAATAAACGATTTTTAAGATAATTTTATTGCTAAAAATAAAATTTTCGAGATCAAATTTCTACTGAAATTGTTCTTCCAGTTACATAAAAGAACAGAGAAGTCCCCAAAAACTAAGAAGTACCGGAGCCGGCCTCAGTTAGGCTTCAGCTCAATTTAAGCTCTGAGTAACGTAAAGAAAAACTTACCTCATTGGAATGCGTTCTGTTTTGATGTTTTGCTCTATCAGAAGCATTGCTGAATGCTTTCCTGCAGCCTGCGACTTCGCAAACATATGGTTTCTCTCCAGTGTGAGATCGAAGATGAGTTTTCAGATTTTCGAGACGGGAATAGGCTTTGTAACAACCTTCAAACTGGGGAGGGGGAAAAAAAAAATCAGAATTTTTTTGGAAGATAAATGAAGGCAAATAATTTAACTTTCTGATTACTGAAAGAACCCCCCCCCTCCTCCTCAGAATTATCTGAGAATACGATTATCATTCCTTAAAGATATTGCAAAAGAAAAGTACAAAATAAAAAATACGCATTTGAAAAATATAATTATTAAAAATTTCAATCTGTCCCTTTTGGGAATATGTTTCCATTAAACTAAACAATCCATCGTCTACTGTTTTTAAAGGAATGTGAGTCAGTGAAGAAAACATTCAAATGTAATTACGCGATCACCTCTATAGAGATTTACAAAACCTAAGTTTAACGTGTTTCAATCTAAAAAGACCTGTCATCATAAAGCAAGCAATGGCCATCTTGGCCTTCTGAATTTCTATAAATTCCATTTATCTAAGACCGTGTTTAAAGAATGCCTAATACACGTTACACATGGAGAAAACCACGAATATGTCCACTCAGGCAGCCCGTGCACTTGGAATCGAACCCAGGTCGGAACTACCAGGGTTTAGCGACTTTTACCTTTCGACCGCTGGTAGGCTAAGAAAGGTCAGATGCGAAGACAGGCTAATGAGAACTATGTGATTGCTTGGTATAACGAACGAAGGGTAAAGTCATAAACTTACGCTCCTTTACGTTTCACTGAAGGAGGTAGGAAACGAAAGCTGAGATTGGAATGACGGTCATAGGCTATTTCCTGGTTCGGGATAAGTTGAGAACGCGGATCCCGTCATTTCTAATCTGTGTTATTATTCCATTATTAAAATCAAACCATTCAGGTTCCAAAAAACATTCAAATACTCTAATAAATTTCGACAACAGTAGAACTAAAATTCCCTTTAATTTCTTCGTTCTTGGAATATCTTCTAGCAGTTCTTGGATGTTGAATGAGTAATCTCATGGATATTATGATTACTAAAAGATATTTCTAGCGGCTTGTGTTATTTCAGATAATCATTGTTCCGAATGCTGTTCGGGAAGTCAACAAAATTCACTTATCTGCTATGGTATTATTAATACCGAAATTTAATGAATAATATGCGAACATAAGTGAGCACATAAAATGTCACTTCTAGAACTACATTCACTTTCTGAGTGAAACTTACAAGCCATCTGCTTTCCAACAAACGTTCTACCGTCTGCCATATCGCGACAATTCCTTTATTATCTTAATATTAGATACGCAATGGCTGATGGCGAGAAAATAGAGAGCATATCCTTCCATCAACTTCCTTTTAATGGAGTATAACATCCTTAAGTATATCATTGACGAAAGACGTATTTTCAAAAGTTATTTAAGAGTCACATGTATTGTGAAATTTCAGATTTGAGACTACAAATTCGTGGATGTGTGGGATAAAAATAAGAACCGTAAGAAAAGAATATTTCTAGAGCTCTTTTAGGACTTCTTTTAGGCTTCTATTACACCATGAAAGCACTCTATAAAGAGGAAGAAAAACCTTGCATTTTCTCACGCTCTAAAGGCAGATGGTGAGCCCATCGCCAAATCCTGGTGGAACTAAAAAATGACAAAATATCGTCCATCACCTTTTTAGTTCGGACGCCATTTTAGAGATCACTAGGCATTTCATTTCAGAGCAGGAAACGTGAAAAATATGCAAAGCCCCCCCGAGGGACTTGAAGTCTGGACCTTCTGATTGCTATCTGGATGTGCTTCCCAATTGCTATACGAAGGAACATGAAGAAAAGGAAGAAAAACCTTGCACAGTGCAATGGGCTTTCTTTCCGTCATGCCGTTTTTCAAAATCATAGCGGATGGCGAATTAATAGCACGATTCTATTTTTGAGGCAAAAAACATAATGGCTTTAAATCGTTTTGAAACTGATATGTAGTGAGCCCTTCGATTTTTCTCTTGAGGTGTAGAGACATTAGGTTAATTTTTGGAAGTAGGAAAGATGAAAAATTAGCAAACGCCTTCGCCGGGAATCGAACCGCGGACCTCTGGAATACCGGCCCAGCGAGCAGAACCACTACACCCCGAAGGCACGCTAGGAAAGTGGGAGAAATACCTTATAGAGGTAAAACCATAGACTCAGTCAATTATTTCACACAGCCCTAAAATTATTCAAGCATTATATAGGCATAAAAATAAAAACTCATTTAAGGTATTGATTACGAAAAAAGTCCTAAACGGCTGCTAATTTTTAGGAAGGATGCCATCATGGAAGACTTTCTAAGAGAAATTGGTTCTCATTCATGTAACACGAGGAGAAAACCATGCAAATCTCATACAGTCAGCTCTTTCATTCACTGGGTACAAAACTGGGACAGGCTACTGATCTTTAATGGTTTAATCCATGTAGCATGATCAAATGAAACAGCCAAGAATATTCAAGGTATAGACGATATGCAACGTACTTGGGTATTTAACTGAATAATAGTTATTTTGGAAATTAAATATGAATTTTATTTAATCATCTAAGTATTTACAGCAGTACAACAACATAACACACTATAACATAAAAAAGGACGCACCAAATAGGAGTCAATAGGACTAAATTGCACATGCCAATGCCTTACAATTAATATGCGGCCAGTAACTGTCTAATTGCAGCTTCAACACATTGCAGCGGAGCATCCAGATGGCGTATAAGACAGAGGACATTCCAGTGTTAAGGCATAACCTTATAGAGACATTAGGATTTTTTGGAAGCAAGAGAGATGAAAAATTAGCAACCGCCTTCTCCGGGAATCGAACCACGGCCCTCTAGAACCGGCCCAGCGTGCAGAACCGCTACACCACGAAGGCACGCTAGGAAAGTGGGAGAAATACCTTATATACTCTCCTTTTTAAAGGACGGCTGGGGTTTTCAGGGGAACCAATCGCCAAATCCTGGGTGTGGAGAAACCTCATCCAACACCCTTTTAGTTCGGGCGTCACTGTAGAGACATTAGGATTTTTTGGAAGCAAGAGAGATGAAAAATTAGCAACCGCCTTCGCCGGGAATCAAATCACGGACCTCTGAAACCGGCCCAGTGTGCAGAACCACTACACCCCGAAGGCACGCTAGGAAAGTGGGAGAAATACCTTATAACCTCTATAATAACGTGGTACCGTCGACCCACATGGACGGTACCACTGTTTGGCAGACGATTTCTCGAAAATATGAGCAGATGTCACCATTTGAGAGATAACAGTTGGATGAAAGGAAGTAGAGTGATGAAATCGCGGGATCGTCAGACATTTGAGTAGGATAGATGCTACGACTCGACAATTTTGGCAGAAATGTCTAGTTGACCGTACAGAGCGTCAAAAAGCAGTGGTCGATAGCCGCTCACGGCCCCTGATGCGTCTTTAACAACGATCCGACGTGCAACCGGTACACCAGTAACTGCAATGACCACTGGTAGGCGACTCAACCAATGGCCGGGGGGGGCTCACGGTGGCCTTTGCGCCGACTGCTCTTCACTATTACACACCGCCAAGTACCACGTTTGCAGTGGTGCTGCCACATTCAACCTCAGATCTCACGGCCTGGAGTATAAAAATTTTCATCTATGATTTCTGCTTCCAAATGAGCCTGTGATTAGCGAAGACGTGTCTGGAAACGTCCAGGACAGCGGTGGGATACTCAGCTGACAGTCGTTCGTCACACAGTCAAGCAACCAGGAGATGCTATGGGGTGCTCTTTCATTTCATAAGCCGAACTCCTTTGGTTGTCTTCCGTGTCTACCTTACAACACGGCAGCACGTCGATGAGATTCTGCCCTTCTTTTCATGGATCTTTGTCATACAGTTCAACAGGACAATGCTCGGCCGCCGCACACGGCACGCCTTTCCACTGCTTATCTGCGTGCTTCTCCAACACTTCTCTAGCTAGCATGATCACCAGATGTCTCCCAGTGGACACTTTTGGGCTCTGATGAGCAAGCGTCTCCGACCGTCTATGGATCGCTCCGATCTAACTTGCCAACTGGAAGGTCTAAGGCATATAATCTCGCAAGAGGCCATCCGTCAACTCTATGGGTCAGTAGCGAGCCGGATAACAGCTGGTATAAGAGCCAAAAGTGGGCCAACGCATTATTGATTTTTTTTTTTTTTTTTTTTTTTTTTTTTTTTTTGGCTCTTGTAGCTGTATTTCCCGAATGAAATATTCAATTCCTATTATAGTGTTAGTGTTTCGCTTTCAATACATGTATACATCACATCTACCAATTTTCGTCTGCTTCGCATAAATTCTTTTTGGTGAGTTGCCTTTTTATGTTATAGAGCATATTATAACGTTATAAATCATTATATTTAAACACGTTGTTAATAAAAAATACTTATTTTGAATGCTAGATAAGAGCACATTAATCCTTTGCAAGCTTTGTCATTATTAACCATAGAAGAGTTAATTATGATTGTCCTCAGAATAACTTAAGGAATTTAAAGAAGGGTTTAAACATTGAAAGTACAAACAAGACCTTTCCTGAAGTACACTATATTCATTTCCGTATATATCTCGACTGTACAGCAGCGATATCCAAATATTTCATCGCGTACCCCTAAGACGAAAATAATTATATGTTGTACTCCATTTAATATAATATATATATATATATATGCGCGTGTAGTCAAAAATCAGATTATTTATGTAAACAAGATACATACTGTTACGAATTTTGTACATAGATGTTTAGTGAAATTATATGTCAAATTGTTGCATTTTTCTGTATGATGTAACATGAAAATCTAAAGGGACAATGCTCTGTAGGAAAAATAGGGATAAATCTAGTTAACATTGAGTAAATGGCTAAATCGCCAAATTGGTGGGATATCGCCAAGCTGGCGATAGTTTTAGCGACAAAAATGAGTCGGTAGATTTGGCGAGAAATCCCCCAAAGTAGCCAAACTTGGCGACTATTTCGCGACATTTTAGTCTGGCTCCTGTAATAGGTATTGTAATTGAATAACTGTAATTAACTTCATATACTACTGTAACCGTATCCGGCCCTCGAATGCCTTTCAGTAATTTCGTAAAGTGTTAGATGTTACTCGGCGGTTGGGTGAAAAACTATATAAGAACAGAGAGAATATATGCACTCACTTATATTTGTTAGTTTAACATGAGTTCGGAGTACTGATATATCTCCGGGTTAGCTTCGCTCTTTAGATACGGTTTGCATTGCGTTGTGTTTAACCTTCTTAATAATTCTAAGTGTAATTACTGATTGTACTCTGTGATACCGTGAAGAGCTGTAAGACTATTTTTCTGGAAGTTCTAGATCTGTGAAGTGTTTCTTTTGATAAAACAAATTTTATCAAAGTATCATCAGTTGGGTGCATTCACTCTATTACGAACCCGTCCGCACGCAACAATACATTTAAATTAAATTTCAAATTTATGTTCTGGATTAGAATATAACGTGAGAAATGGGATTGGGAAAAACCTGGTTTGATGTTCTTTGTTAGAAGTTCTGGTTCTAATTTATTTCCGTATTAGGTTTTAATTGTTGTCTTTGCAGAAAACGCTTCTTGGCAGAGAAACGTAGAATCATACGAGAAGATTACGTTAGTTGCCGTGCATACTAAATCTGGATATTCGGTTTTCCATCCCACGCACCAATTATAAAGAGATTTTTCTTTAAAACCGGAAAGTAACCTTGTTCTTTTTCTCATATCAGTTAACAGTTCTTGAGATGCAATCGAAAGATCTATTTTTGCATTTTCAGCAAATGGGTTCATGATCCATTGAAATTCTATTTAAATATTAGGAAAATCTGTAAATCGGATTCACATTTTTTTTAAAATTCTTTAAATGTGTAGGTAAATATTTTAAAATTTTTCCCCATTTAGAAGCATTTTCAGAAGCAAAATCATTCTATGATGGAAACATTTCTATTCTCCTTCCATATAACAACTTTCCTTCAAAATGCAGTCACATTTTCAGTCATTGTTTTGGGCATACCCTCAAGTATTACTTTTCGCATCCCCTAGAGTACGTGTACTTCACTTTGGAGACCACTGCTGTAGAGTACCAAACGGAAGTAACTTGTAGATAAAGTAAAGTGAAACAAATTTGTTTATTACTTACTGTGCACTTGTGAGGCTTTTCTCCAGTATGCCTTCGCATATGAACAACCAGCATATACTGGGCTTTGAATGGTTTTTCTTCCCTTGAGCAATCTTTCCATCGGCAGACAAAAGCTTTTTTGTTACTGTGTATATGATCCTGATATATATGCTGCAAAGGAAGAATGTTTAATAAAAACTCACTTTCAATGCAAGGAAAAGAATTTTGCAGAGGATTTACTTACCCATAAGCATCAATTATGATATTTAGTACAAATAAACAAACAATGCAACAGCAGCAAAAATTGTTTATCAATACGGTACCTTTCAGTCTTTGTGTGAAGGAGCACAGGAAGCTCAGTTTATCGAAGGTTAACTTCCAAGATTTGAAGAATAACGGAGCAGTCAAGCAAGGGGAATTTTTTGATCCAGAATATTAAATTACGATGTTCAAAAGTTCATACCGAAGCAGTTTTCATTTAACTGATACGACATATTATATTCACAGGACGTTATAACAGGTTCGGTGGGGGTTCAATGAATTCTAGCCCACCAGCGGCCGAGCGGTAAAGTCACTGAGCAGCAGGTTCGAATCCTGCGAACGGTCAGGCTGCGTGGTCGTTTTCGTGTTTTTCCGCATGTGTAACGTATATATAAGCCAGTTTTCTTTAGAAAGAATTCCACGAAGGCATCACTCCCCTTAGGCAGATAGCGTTGCAACCTTTGCCGTAATCACATAAACCAAACCAATCAACAAATTCTATGTAATTGTGAACGTAATAAGACAAAAATCAATGAAACAATTTCATTTTCCTTCTCGGGAATGAAAACAGTTGCAAAACGCTCTTCTACTTCAAATTTAATTTTGTGTAAGGATGCAAAAGATTGTCAGTCAATAATAACTGCATCAAACAATGTTCGATGGTCGAGTTCTTGATGAAAGAAAGCACAATCCTAGCAAATATTCATGGACATACGGATGAAGGATAGCGACATTGAATAATGGAATATAACTTTCAAAAAGATGGACTGTCAAAATTATCATGTTTAGGCATAGGAAATCGTCACTAAAAATGACTCTGAATAAAGCCACAGTTTGGATGAAACCAATGAAGAAATGTGCGCTAAAAATCGAGGAATTTGCAAACTCGCTGCGGTTTCTCAAACTGCGGCGAAAATGACATTCAGTGATTATCAGTGAAAAAATTTTGCTTGAAAAGCTACTTATATCAAAGTTATGCTTCAAATGGGTACCTCGAATGTTGATATCAAAAATGAAGAAATGCCGTACTGATTAGTCTCGAGAATTGCTGTCTAGCATAAACGCCGATGATGATGACAATAAGCGTTATTTCCTATTACTGTCTCCTGAACCCCAGACGTTCAGAACGTAGAAGTTTGTTGGAGAAGTTTGAATCACAGTAAGGTGGATGAAGAAGGAACGTTGCTGATTAATTAGTTCTATATAAAACAAGAGTAACAGGCTTTCATTATGCTAAACTGTTAACCCAGCAACGAGAGGCCATAAAGGGTAAAAGAAGTTGTGGCAAATTCAGTAGAAAAGTCTTGTTTCTGCGCGACAACATACCCGTATAGAAGGCTCAGGTTTCCTAAACCGCTGTTCAGTAATGAAGATATCAGCAACCCCCTACACACACACACACTAATTATCCTCTAGGATATTTCTCAAGGTGATTTATTTCTCCCAGAAACTGAAACACCACTCGCGTAGTTCATGTTACAGCGAAGCGACGTGATAGATGCTGTTCAGGAATGGATTCAAGGTATACTTGTATAGTATTTTTTACCTGCTGCCTAACTGAGTGATGCACATTGAATTTAAAGGAAATAACACAGATAAAAATCATTTTGGAGACTTATCTCCTTCAAATGTATTAAGCCTAAATTTTAACGAATGCCTCTTTTACTCTGACACTGTTATGCAGGTGAGATACTAAATAATTTCTCTGATCGCAATGAAAATCCAGCTTGTATAGCGGTACCGGTACTTTTTAGAGGTTAGAGCTGATCAGAGCTACCGACCTCCATAACAGGAAACCGTTTGACATCTTTTTACCTTGATGAACTATGATGGAGCATTGTCAGTTTCTACAGGTCCAAAGCTAAGGATGATTTTGAAGAAACTTTTCAGATCTTAAGACTAATGTTCGAATAATCAAAAGGAAAATTTATCTGTACTTTTCTTAAATCTCTAAAACGCATATGGTATAGAGACAACTCGCTGCATTCTTTGTAAAAATATTCCAAATAAAAAAATAAGAATTGTTCCAATAAGCCCTGCATATGTCAAATATGGAAAGCAGGTTGAAATACTAATCTTACCTTTTGAATCCCCATATTCACTGGAATGGACATGATTTACATCAAGTATAACATTTCATATTTCTAGGATTGAGTGAAGAATTTATTTCTGAAAGGGTTAGTTGAATGAAATTTCCTCAAGTTGGTGAAGTCCTAAAACATTGTCATCGAAAATACCGTGGTAAAAAATAAGGCAATTACAAATTATCGCATGACGATAACATCGCAGACATGCGTTTTCCAGGCTTTAACTATATTATTCTCTTAGTAATTGTGCTTTTCCTTTTTCTAATCTTTTTTAGACTATATTTTTCACGAAATATTACCAGTAAAACTTTATAAAAAAGATTAATTTATTAATGACCTTTGTTAATTAACTATGTAAGTTTAAAATTCTGTTAAGTGCTATAAGTTGTATTAATTCTACTCATTTTCAATTTTTAAATGTTTAAGTTTCCTTCTTAATTTTTCCTAGTTAATCCAGAAACATGAGATATGAAAGTAAAAATATTCCTTATTCCTTCTAGCACTCACAAATCATTATGCGACTATGCATGTACACTGCTCAAAAAAAAAAAAAAAAAAAAAAAAAAAAAAAAAAAAAGGACAGTCCTATATCTCCCTATCTACTGGGCCGATTGACAAAATTCAAATTGCGTTCTTCATGTCTCGAAAGCGCGACTTAGGATATATATTAGATTTATATAGCACTATTCTAACATAGGTATTTTGACACAAATCGGACTTTTTCTGAAATAACATACCAATTTTTTTACATATTTCGATTCTACGACTCAAATTACGCCTAATATGAAATTTTGTAAAATTTGGAGCGAAATTTACGGAGAAATTCACAAATTTATGTTGGCACTTTTTTGTCAGTTTGCGCCAAGAATACTTCACTTGGCCAACTTCTTAATATATGGCAACCTAGTTTCCTTTCCCGTGAGAGGAAAAAAAGTCACCATCGTTCCTTTTTTCCAAATAATATTTTTTATATTATATTTTAATTATAACTTATTATTTTAAGTAATTTTTTCTTTTTCGAATTTCATTTTAATTGTTTAAGTTGCACGTTTTTTTTTTTTTTTTTTTTTTTCGAATAACTGTTTTAAAAATTTCTATTTACCTATTCGAACTGCGTAAATAAAGGTGCAGCGTTTTTTTTTTTTTTCTTTATAATTTTTCGTTATATATATTTATTGTTTTAGGTAAATTTTTAAATTTTTACTTTTATTTAAATGTTTTGTTTTTATTTTATTCCTTCGAACTGAGCATTTTAAATATATTTATTAATATCAATTTTCCAGAATTTGATTTTATTTATTTGAACTACGTTTCTTTCGGAAAAATACTTTGTAACCCAGACTACGATGAGTTTGAAAACTGCATACTATATTAAAAGAGAAAATACAGTAAAGCACAGTTTTACACGCCTTTCAATGTTCCGTTCAGAAAAGATATATATAAATAAGAGAGATGTATAACCGACATTTTAACTTAGGATGACTTGCATACACTGCTTTAAACAGTTTTATCATTGTGCCCATTGCTTTACACAATTTTATCCTACATTTGGTTTCTTAAAATGTTATTCATATTTTAGTTAAATATTTTATTTTGAAATCGCAAGAATCAAATATCACAACATTGAAAAGTTTTAAAAAAAAAACAAATACTAAATTTACGAAAAAATTTATTTTACTTCTCTTTTTCTTTAAGCATTCTGAAGTATATTAAAAAGTCCAACTTTTCGAAACATTTTGGTATTTTTGACAATCATTTTAAATAAAGTTATCGCCTTCCATTTCATAAAGGCCCACAAACGGCCGAGCGGTAAAGACGCTGATCACTAGTAGTTTGGTCCGAGGTTCGTGTGTATGTGATTATGGCAAAGCCTCGAGGGCTATCTGCCTAAGGGGAGGCATGCCTTCGTGGAGGACTTTCTAAGGGAAACTGGCTCGTATACACGTTACACATGGGGAAAAACACGAAAACGTCCATGCAGCCAGGCCGTTCGTGGGATTCGAACCTCGGACCGAACTACCAGTGTTCAGCGACTTTACCGCTCGGCCGCTGGTGGGCTGGTCCGAGGTTCGAATCCCGCGAACGGGCTGGTTGCATGGGTGTTTTCGAGGTTTTCCCGATGTGTAACGTGTATACGAGGCCAGTTTCCCTTAGAAAGTCCTCCACGAAGGCATCCCTCCCTTTAGGCAGATAGCCCTCGTGTGCTTTGCCATAATTAAATAATCCAATCCAATCCTTAATTAAATATAATTGATTTGTAACTTCTACTAGAACTGACGTTAAGAATTGAAGTGCAAATAAATAATATCGTGTGCAATCTTGATTAATATAAAATTAAAAATATTTGCATTCAGACAGAAAGTTTTTTTGAAATATTTGCAATTACTTTATAAGAAGGATTTATTAATAACCGTAATAATTACTTATTATATTACTGATGATTAGGATTCAGTTCTTGATAATTACATTCTAAATTAGAATTTTAAGGATATAATGAAAATACGCTACGCACAAAAATACATTTTAGGATAAAAATGAATTGATTTTTTACGTTTTAAAACTTCTTAAATTCATTTAATAAACATCGTATCATCGTTGTTAATTGAATCCAGAATGTTGGGTAGCGTTTATATAATTATTCTTACTTGTCCACAGAATCGGCTGACTTATCCAGCCATTAAGTAGCTGCAGATCATTTCTACATAACCATTGAACTTCCATTAATTCAGTCTTTAGAGGGCCGTATGTTTATATCATAATTTGACTTTTATAAAAATGGTTATTCTAAATATTATGTTTCTATAAAAATATACTGTGCTTTAA